ACAGTGTGAGCAGTTAGATCGCATGAGAGCGTCGTGCTGCACATACATCGTGAGCTGTGAACTCATACTGTACAACTAAACCCTGCGATTAGTTGTACAGTGTGAGCAGTAGCTGCGTGCAACGACTGAAAAAAAACAACAAAAAAAAAAAAAACGCACAGTGTACGCCCGGCTTTAAATGCAGCGAGTTTCCCCCTTGTCTGGGGCAATAAAAAGATTTACACACATTTACATTTCATCACGTAGCCCCTCTGTTTTGGCTATTAAAGCTGTTTTTTTATCTGCAAAACCTTTGTCAACTTCTACAGCCACTCATTCAATGTAGAGACGTTTTATTTTTAATTCTGCTACATGTAAAAAAAAAATGTATCCTATAAGCCACGGAAGATCCACCACCTCCTGGCAACAGCATTGCTAAGCAACAAATAGCAAGTAAGGTATGATCTGGATACTACTTTACTACAATGGTGGCTTGCAAAGTCCAGAGAGACATTTGTGTTGGGCTGAAACTTGTTTGGATTCCTTCCTTCGCTGGTACTTATTCACACTTATTCAAAAGGTCTGAAGCAAGGGTGGGAACACCAAGTATGGTCCATTTAAGGCAGACCCAGTGTGGCAGATCTGAATACACCCTGATAGATTTGTTGAACATCAAGGTTAAGATTTGAGCTTCTTAAGTCCAGGAGGCACTTCAGCCAGAAGTCTCCAGCTCCATTCCTTCAGAGCTGCTGTTGTGCAGCGTTTAAAAGTGTCCCTTCTTCAACACATCATAACAAGATGATTGTTAAACTTGAGGGTATGTTGTGGAGGTAATTCAGTCCTTTGATGAGCTGTGTTGGAGAAGGGATTTAGCTAAAAGTTACAGAGCAGTGGCCCCTAAGGAATGGCGATACAGACTCCTGCACTATGAATTCCCTCTGGCAAAAATTTGGCTCAGAAAGGTTTTATTCCAAAATCTATTGGAATTCATTGATTCTTTTCACTGATTCTTTTCCTGCAACTAGAAACCTGTCTGGTTTCTAGTTGCAGGAAAAGAAACACTCACAAATGATAGATCTGAGGAGGAAGGAAAGTGTTTTTACCTCAGCCTCTGTCATGCAGTACAGATGCAGGTTCCTCCAGTGTGAAACATAGGGCAACAGGTAACTATAGTTCAGTGGGTTGCAGTATAGATGGACAGACTCTGCCTTTATCAGGATGATCACATCTGACAAGTTGAAACAAAGAATGATTCAGAGGCAGATTCAAATCAAGAACCAGCAGAACAGGACTGAAAAAAAAAGCTCACCATCCTGCATTTCTTCAGGTAAATCATCAAGGGCATGCTCCAAGTTTGGTAGATTCCATTCATAGAGTCCGAAGAAAAGGTATTTTGCCAGCTCACTGCATCCCAAATTAAATCTGCTGTCTAATCCTTTTTTGGTAAAAAACAAACAAACAAACAAACAAAAAAAACATTAAAGTTTGAAAATTGTTTGGCACAGAAATTAATGTTTTGCTAAAAAAATTCTGGTGCATTCAAACATACCAAGAGAGCACAAGATGCCATCTGGACAGACAGGGCCTCCTTCACAGAGCAGGGCTTGAACTTGACGCAAGCGAGAGCAACTAAAAAAAAAAAAAAAGAATGCATTTGTCATCAATTTTAACTATTACTATAAAATATGGAAGTTAAGTTTATGTTCTTTCATCTTTACCTAAGTTAATATTAAAACAAAGAAAGTTAGATTGATTTGTTTTTTTTGTTTGTAAGTAATGTTATTACATTTATTTTCACCACCATTACCACTTTTTTAAAATACTTGCTAAAGCATAAGTTCAGGTTTTATGTAATGAATTGGAGTTTTGATACTTATTTCACTTTTAATGGTTGTCATAATATGATGTGGGATGTCAATGTCATGCATAATATGATAATAGGATGTGATGCGACAGACAAAATGAAAGTGGCGCATAGTTTTGAAGTGAAAAGACAGTGACATATGGCTATTTTTGTTTAAACATAAGTAAAGAGCAGTGCATTTTTATTCAGTCCCTATACCAAAACCCCTAAATAAACTCTTATTCAAGACTTTTCAATGGATTTTTTATTCAAACAGATATATACGAGTCAACGTAAGCTAACATTAATGATATATACTGTAGATAGCTGAAATATTAAGGTGAAGTAGCTGCCTCAGCTCATGTTGGAGAATCTTTTGACCGGACAACGATCAGCCCAGTACTCCATAAATCTAGACTTAATTGAAATGTCACTGGTGAAAGAAGACACAGAGACTTTCTGTTTGCCACAAACCAGATGCTCTGGTCAAATAACACCCCCCAAATAAGTTTATTTAACCTGCACTGCTGCACACAGGCTTCCGGAGAAAAAAAGACCAATTATGAAACATGGTTAAGGCTGCATCATGCTACTGTATGGTATGCAATGAGACATAGTAAATGTGTAGGCTGAGCGAAATAAAGTCCTAAACAAAGTACTAATCTAGTAAAAGTTTTGTGGCAACACTTTAAACCTGCTTTATATGTGGCTGCTATTCAGACCTTGACATATTTCCAAAGTAAAATTATAGGTAAAAGATTACATGTTTATAGCTGACATAATCTATAATTGTGAATGCACTTTCCAAATTTGGGTTATTTCACCCACAATTCACATGTGCTACTTGGAAATTTAGGAAATTGATGAACACAAATTTGACTAAGTAAATCTCATGAAATTTCATTAAAATCCAAGTTTGTATTTGCAACGTCACAAAACAAAAATGTTTAAAGGTTATGTATATTTTGCAAGGCACTGTTCTCAATGTTGTTTGGATTAATACCATCATTTATATAATTTACTCAAAAAAGAATAGTAGAAGTTTCTTATTAAAATGTAATATAACTTACTTATAAGTTAAATAACTAGTAAGCAAGCGTAAACATGTTTTTACACATAAATAACAAGCAGTAACAAACATAACTGCAAACCGATCTGGCAGGCGGGTAGGGCTAATGTTAGCCTGGCTAGCTTGACAGCTGCAGTGAGGCTTTTTTTTTATAACCAGAACTCGATATAAACTGTACCTGATCACGGGGTTGACCCCAGACAACTTTGCGTTTACTCTCCGTATACCGGCCATTGCTGTGCTAGACACAGAGCACAAAAAAGGCAAACACTTTTAGCTATTGCTCTCCATCACCCTGGAGAACGTCCACACAAGATGGCATAGCAACGGCGCGAACCATTTGACACACAGGGGTGTAAGGAAAAAATAAACGGTTTTGCTATTTCAAAACTTTCCCTTGAAAAAATAGTTTATTTATTATAATACTTCTCCCTCATGATTGTTTTATAAACATATTTAATTTCGCTGTAATATGATATAAACATATATTTATCTACTAAGAAGTAACCTCCCTCCATGTGATTCGGTGGTATGTTCCTTTAAGGGGCAGTGTTATCAGCTGTATGCAATAGCAGCTGCGGGTGATGGTGCAATCCCTCAGTAATATTCAACAATTGGCGATATGATGCACTGCAAAAGAAAAGGAAATCATCATATAATGGAAACATTGAAGTTTATACTTAGTCAACTGATATTAATCAGTGTTGTTTTGCATTGTGTAAATTACAAATGGATTTATAAGAAATTTTGTCTGGATTTTCTTTGACAAGTAAAATTCCACAAATTCCAAAAAACACTTTTCAGATTTTAATTCAAGTTTAGCGGCTTCACTGTTTCAACACTGAAACATAATAAATTCAGATGCTGATGCAATCTCCACTGTCCAGCAAGCAAAAAGCTGAGAGGGTGAAAAGAAAATAAATCAGAGGCCAATGTTTATCTGTATAATCTTTGTCTTAAAGACACTGTGTTATTGCTTTTGGCATTAAACTTTTTTGGGAGCTACTGTATATTCTTCTGTGAACCCAGATATCCAATACATCTTTCAATCATGGCTTGCAAAAGTATTAATTTTTCCTTTGATTTAAATTTTATAGCATTACAATGACAACTTGGAAAAACTTCACATTATGTGAATTAACAGGAAATGTACCACAGTTTGATTATGATGTGCCCACCATGTTTGAGTGTTTTTGAACTGAGAAAGCTGTCTGGAGTGAAAGGTTTTCAAACTTAGAAAACAAAGTCCAGTGTTTTTTTTTTGTTGTTGTTGTTTTTTTGGAAAGTTTTACTAGTCTTAGGTTATCTCCATTCAGATTTTTTGCTTGGTTTTGTCTTTTTGAAGGTAAATTTTGAAGTTGCATTTTGTTCTCATCTGACCAAAGATGAGACCTTATTCCAAAGGTACCATATCCCAACTGTATTTTTTCTTCTCACTATTCAAAGGCACAATCTATAGAGTGAATGATCAACATTAGTGCTGACAATTCCCCTTGTAAGCTTCAGATCTTTGCAGCTCCCTCAGAGAAGTGACAGACCTTTTGGCTGCTGCTGCGATTAATGCACCTCTGGTCCATTCTGTCACTTTTTTCTTGGTAGTTATGCCATTACTCAGTAAAACTATGAATATTAAATTGTTATTTTTTTATATGTCAACATCACTTTTCTTGGTACAGTACAGTATGTGCTTCCTTGCTGTTGATGATGTTCTCTCTTCATTAAAGATCAGACAACAACATAAATGCTTACATAAAATTTCACAAATCAGTCTGAATTTACCAATTCGATCAATTTTGACAGTAATTAGTTGCAATTTGCAGGGCACACATTTCAGATTTTTCTTCATTAAAAAAAGTTCAAACCCATGTGTTACTTGGGGTTTGTGCAGGAAATCCCAATCAAATCCCTAGAATTCTGGGGTTGCAATAAAGCTCTATATTAGTGAATAAAAGCACAACGAATAATTGAGCAAATGTATCAAGGAAAATAACCTGTTAAGATGGGAGCTTGTTTGTGTTCACAAGCATGAGGAAGAATCCTTGACTGTGGAGTTTGCATGCTTGGTATGCACTTCCTTAATACTGACAGAACAAGTAGGTGGAATCACAGAGCCAGAGTGTTCGGTTACAGGTGTCACCTTAGACAAGCAATCTGCAGAAGACATGTCCCACGGTAAGTTGATATTAAATGATTTGTGCATTAGTAATCTTTTTTTTTTTTTTTTTACCAACTTCAGAAACGAAAAAAAAGTCTCTTTAAAATGTAGCTGTCTAGTAAAGAGATTTACACAAACTAAACCCGTTTCTATGCTTCGTTTGACAGACGGGCTAAGCAGCACAAAACATGTGATGGCAGTCATTGCCATGACGGAGGAATGGTCATCCTTGACATCTCTGTTCCAGAATAACTCTGGAGACACATTGTACCAGACAACCTTTAGTTCTATTGGATCAAAACAAGTCTGTGAACTGGTAATGGAGGGGAATTCGATCAGCTTGCACTATTCAGATTTAAAAGAAGATATGTCAGATGAGGATTTTTGCAACAACATTGAGGGCTGCTTCCTGTCTTGCAAAGGGGCAATCAGTGCATTTCTTCTGTTGATCAGAGGTGGCTTTTACACACAAAAGGAGAGAAGAATTGTTGAGATCCTGCAATCCCACTTTGGAGCTGAAGCTTTGAAATACCTTGTAATACTTTCGGTGGAAAACGGAAAAGTTACAGATACACTTGACGACACCCTCCTGGATTTGATAAATGTATGTGATGGGAGATATTGTTGCATCACAATGTCCACTGCAAGTGGAGGGCTGCATGCATTGCTTGAGATGGTGAATAATGTGCTCACTGAAAACAGTGATTCTGGTTACACCAAAGCCATGCTGGATGAATCAAAGAGAAGGTGCATGGAGGACTCAGCCATGAACATGCTTAAACAAAAGGTGCAAGAGGCTGAGGAGAAAGAGCGGGTTTTTGTGGAGAAGGTGAAAAAAGAGGAGGAAAGAAGAACCCAGGAAATGGAAGAGCTGAGGGCAAAGCATGCCAAGGAGAGAGAGAAGGAAGCTGAGGAGCAAAGGAAATATGAGACAAAGAGAGAGAGTCTCCAGGAGGCAGTGATTAGCCACAGCTCCATGCTACAGCTCCATGCAAAAGCCCCCCAAGGTAAGTCTTTAGTTTATGATGGTGTTTTTCTTTGTTTTGTAAAAACAAACCGAAGCAATAAAATATAACTAATACATAATTAAATCTGAAGAACACCCTAAAGTTGTTATTTTATCCTCAAAATATTGAGATTTCTTTAATGCTAAGCTGTTAACTATGAATAGTAAAAAAAAGGTACAACTTAAAAGTTTAGTCAGTTTTTGAAAATTTGTGTCTGTCACTATTTCATAAAGAACAAAAAAAGAAAACTAAAAAAAAACATTGTGGTCTTTGTGATCATAGTAGAAATTTAATGTCACTGAGACTGGGTATGGAAGCCCAGACTTGGCCCGTATCTGCTGCTTTATTAGGTAGATTAGATGCAATAGATCACTTTGCCTTTTAGAGAAAGCAGCTGAGGGGGATTTGGCTTTTGTGACATGGTGCATTATTCTGTCTGGATATACAGTAGCTGTTAGAAAATGAGTCCACTATTGCCGAAGGGAAAGAAGCAAAAAGGTTAGTCATTTGCAGTTGACTGCCATATGGTGTTGACCTCTGACTGCCAACAGGGGTACTTTTATTTAAGATACTGTTGTATTTATTCAATTATTTTACCCATTCTTTATTACCTCTGACTTAACCAAGCATGTTAATCCATTCAGCTGCTAATCATTAGAAGCCTCTTTTTTAATCAAAAATCCGAACTGCCTATCTGCAGACATCATCCAACGCTTTCTTGTGTGTAATTACTGAGGGAATAAAATGTGAAAAGGCCTACCCTGGCAGCTGTAAGCCACTCCAATCCGCTGGCAATCCTGCACCATTGTCACAAAGCTGGAGATTTTGAATTCCTCTGCTGCTTCCTCATCTTCATACTGTCAGGAGAGGTGGGAAGATTAGTAATACATGGAGGACAGAGAACCCACTGTATCATATTTATGTGTATATATATATATATATATATATATATATATATATATATATATATATATATATATATATATATATATATATATATATATATATATATATATATATATATATATATATATATATATATATATATATATTTATTTTTTGTATAGTTGCTCATAAATATCCCAGAAGTTTCTAATAAACTGAAACTGTGTCCAGCTTGTCTGGGTCCAACAAATATAACTGTTGTTCAAAGTCTCATGAATTCCCTTTTAAACTAATTTTCATGCTCAACCTCACAATGTCTAGCTGCATTAATACATTTCATAAATAGGTGAACCAACTGTAGAGCTTGGTAAGTACAGGACTTGAATTGTTGGAGCATGGGATTTCTCGAATTTATTACTCATTATTTGTGGTATAAAAAACTATCTGTTTAAATATAGCTCCATTTTACAGTGACCTGTGCCCCGAGCTTGTCAGCAGAGTCTAGAGCAGACAGCATCAATAGCCTCCCAACATGACTACTGTAAATTATCCCAGTTTAAGTAGAAAAAGCACAAAAGTTTGTTCCTGCTGCAGAAAACATATCAAATTTGCAACACTCAATGTGTCTCTGACCAAAGCCAATTTCTAACCATGGTCTGAATGTTTCCACTGTCTGAGGGAGAGAAGTTTTAAGAACCAGATCAAAATGCTGGTTTGGTCTCAATGGGTAATGATTGAAGGGTTGTACTGTATGTTAAAAGGAGCAAATAAAGCAAAAATAAAATCCATTTTCAAAAAAAGTATTTTAAAATGCAAGTTGAAAAAGAAAATGGAAAAAGGAATAACTTTTTAAAATGTGGGAATAGTAAACGTATTTATTTATGAATTTTGTTTTTTAAATTAACATTTAGAAATAGGATTTGAAAATTAATGTAAAAATTCTCTTCAATAATTTAAATTAAAATGTGCAATTAGAAAACGCTTTAAAATTTATTTTTTTTTAAGATTTCATGATTTAAATGTTAACTTTGAAATGTCTGGATTTCTTTTTCAGTGACTCTCTAGGGTCCTTCATAGCTCCCCCTTGATTTAAAAGAAAATTTTCACATCCTGCATTACAACAATTTTTTGAAAGTTTAACAAATAACAGTCAACTGCATTAGACCGTACTGCAATAAAATGAACTACAATTCCCTTTAAATCACAAGTTTGCCTCTTTTAAAGTGTGATTGTTTTAAATGCATAACGAAGGATGTTCTTTTTCTGGGTGGATCATAGAAATAAGGGGTCCTCCTAATTGTCAATCATTCTAGTGTTTATGTTAGACCATCCTACATGCTTGTCCACCATTTTCACTTACCGGTGGTAGTCTGACACACTGGAAAAATTGCACATCTTCTTTTGAAAAGTAAGCTTGTATGAGCAATGCAAACAACAACTTTTAAACAGAGTGTGCACGAGGAGAAATAGGCTGGTGCATGCTCTCACACACGTTGAATAGGTGTTCCCTCTTGGGAGGGGGTACAGGGTTGCGCATGTGCATTTTTTTTAAAGTAGAGAGGGCAGGTCTTGTCAAAAATTCGAAAAAATCCTCCACTATAGCTTTAAGTGTTCGGGTTTATTTTGCTGTGAAACAGAATTCATCAACATCATCAATATATATTTTATATAATTGGCCACACATAAACCCTACATAAAACCCTTTCCTTGTTATACAGATGTTTTTTGTTCCCAAGACAAACACAGTCTAGCACCCCTCAGTGAATCTGCATCTTTTTAGCAGATAGTCTTTACTTTGGATATCCTGAAATGCAGCAAGCTGCATATTAAAGTTATACTGAACTAAGTTCAGCTGATATGCAAAGTATTATAGCTTACAGCTTTAATAATTACAAACTATAAAAGATCTAGTGCAACATTTATACCACACACATTTAGCAAACCTTGAATGCTTAATGTTTAAAAGCTACACAGTCTATCATTGTCACTAAATCCAATGACACTGGTTAAGTGTGATGTTTTCCATCTATTTTACTATTAATGTGTGCTAGCTTGAGACTGCAGGGCTTGAATGGTTTAAATGGCAAAGATATAAACTAAATCACATTTGCTTGTTTTCCATTGGTCCTCTACACCGAGATAAGGAAATAAAAAAGTTAAGTCATGAAGCAAAATCCTTTGTCTTGGGAAACTCCCTGTTTGATTGCGGTGTCACCAAGCTGCAAAAGCAGTCAGCCCCCAGGGCTCTCGAAGTCTCACGTGAACCAGAAAGTAGTCGCTTTGGTCTTGTTTTCAAAAGGCTTAACTCTTTTGTTCTCCCTGCAACAATTTCTCCTCTGGGAAACACTATCAATGAGCCCCCCAAGGGCTTCAACACCTGCTTAAGCTTTTTAATACGTTTCTCAAGATCTGTTGCAGACAGAGAGAATCCTGAAATGGTTTAAATTAGTCATGTTGTTAGAGAAGCAATTACTACTCAGGAATTAGGTTGTAAATATGTCCTAAGACGAGCATCCAGGCAAATAACCTAGAGTTTTTTCAAGGTTGCATAACCCAACCACAAGAGGGTATCATTGACTTTACTAAGTTTTATGTTGGGTTATGTGTTTGAGCTTAAAATTGTATTCTGTTGCTCATATTGGGTTTCTTTGCCTGGTTAATCAAAATGATCTACTCTAAATTACAGGGTGTCCTTGCCAACAATCTTCGATAGGAACCGAAAAATGTAGGAGAAACAGGAAACATACTGTAATGTGAATTCCAGACAAATTACTTCCTTTTACCTAAGAAATGAGCTCAGCTGACGTGCAAGGAGGTGTTGGAGCGGTTAGAAAGACCAATTTCTGACTTGTGTGTCTTAAAATCCATCTTGTATTAAAATACATTATTAAAATTCATGCCAATGCCTTAAATTCTGCTAGTTTGTGGAAAGGAGTTCATACAACTTTGAGAAGCATCTTTTGCTGAACTGGAACTATTCAGAATGGTGCATGAGTGATGGAGTAAAGGGGCAGCTTTTAAAAATCTCTTTAAATCTCCTCAATATGGAACATTGGTGTTTTAGACTTAAGGCTTTGTTATCAGTTTATAAGCAGCATCTTAGTTGCACTAATTAATTTTCCAGAAATATTTTTTTATAATAAATTAAAAAATTATTCTACTTTAAGGCTGATGCTAATGGTCCAAGAGGAACCAACACTAAAAACCCCAAATTGGGGTTTTGTGTGTGTGTGTTTTTTTTTTTTACTTTTCTGTTAGGCTTTTATGTTGTCCAGTTGACATTTTAGAGGTGCTGATGATCTCTCAGGCCTCCAGAGAGCCGCTTATTCTTTGTTTTTCCTTTTTTAAGACAGAAAGCAGGAAAAAAAAACCTTAATAATGGGAAAGAGTGTAGAAACTTTGGTCTCATATAAAAAATGACTGAAACTATTCCTGTGGGTTTCCCATTGCTACTTAAATTACTTTTCTGCCTTTTTCCACTGACTTCGTTTTAGAAGAATTTTCTTCTCGTTTATTCTGTTATTTTTTCTCACTTCTTAGCTTTTTTTGTATTTCTTTTGACTTTAACAGTTCTTTTTATTCTGTTTTTGGTCTTTAAGGTGATGAAACAAAGAAGATCTCTGGTGTTCTGTTGGGCCTCACTGGCAGTGGGAAGTCATCTGCTCTCAATCTGATCTTAACCAGAGGAGGCAGTCTTTACTCGATTGATAGCTCCTGTCACGACCAGGCCTTGCCAACCATGTCATGTGAGAGAAGGGAGATTTTCACTGGAAGTAAGCGGCTCATCCTGGTGGACACTCCTGAACTGTGGGATGAAGATGGGGTGGAGAACATAGAGCTGGTGAAAGACTGCCTTGCCTTAGCCCTACCTGGTCCCCACTTCTTCCTGCTGGTGCTCCAGGTGGGACGCTTCACCCAAGGCGAGAGTGAAATGCTTGGACATGTGCAGAGGATCTTTGGAAGAGACGTGGCAGAGCACTCCATTATTTTGTTTGTCCATTTTGATAACAACCAACACAAGCCTCTGAAAATCAATGACTATGTGGCTGGAGCTCACTCAGCCTTGCAGGACTTTATTCGGAAGTGTGGGAGCAGATATTATATGTTGAATGTGACGAAGTCCCATAACGGTTTGAGTTATCCCCAGGTGAAGGAGCTGCTTTCGGGAATCGACAAACTGGTGGCCTCACATGGAGGTCAAGCTTATTCGATGAAGAGATTTTCCTCACAAGAGCTCCAGGAAAGAAATAACGCCATGACAGATAGAAAAGAGGGAGCATATTTATTAGGAGATAATTAATTTTCCTTTCTAACTGGTGAAGTGTAAAAACACCATGCATGAGCAATATAGGGTAAAGTAACCTCCATAAAAAGGGTCTTATATAGATAGACATGCATATATTAGATTAAGATGTGTTTAATATTTGGTGTTTGCTTAAGTCACAGCTATTTGATATCTCTTTATTTTATTATGCTTATAGGGTGGTGTAGAATAGGTTTCCCTTTGCTAGTCTGAAGGTCCTCTGTAAGAGCCGCTTTCTGCAGCTTTAAGGAGAAGTTTGTTCTCCAAGCAAGATAATCTGAACTTCATGCACTTTTAATAAATGTTCGGTAATGTAAAAAGAATGTTGTAAACATGTTATGGTGGTAGAGTTTTTTTTCCCTAAGCAGATAAAAGCTGCAGAATCACATTAACGGTATGCTTGTCTGCTGAGCCAAGAAAGAGTGATGAAGTACAGCTGCTCTGTATTTACTTCTGGTGTTCATGGAGTTTTCCTGCCTGTTTCTTAGTTTGTGTTTTTGAGGGGTTGCCTGAGACATATACGACTGTTACTTAAAAAACATTCTTAAAAAAAACAGTGCTAGATGTAACCTTTATTGTTTTTTTTCCTAATGTGCTTTTCCATCAACTGCACAGATTACAATAAAATGTTATAATTTTAAATGCAAACCCTGTTTTTTGACTTAACATATTTCCCTTTGTCAAAGCTAACTGGTATCATTCTTGTTTCTCTGGCTTAGGGAATCTTTTGTGTTTGTCTTTTCATTTTAAGCATTATTTAATTTAATGGGGCTCATTACAACGTGCCGTTTCATTTTAAAAGAGATAGCTACAAGTTTTTCTCCTTCCGGCTGGAAGTTGGTACGTTGGGCTCGCCTTCACTCCTTCCAACCTTTAATGCCACTGTTTTAACCAGCTGTTTTTTTTAGATTGTCCAAAGCTAACACTGAGGTAGTGGTAGCCGTGGTTATCATTTGCTAACAAACTTACCTGTCCAGAAGGAAAGCAGTAACCTCTGCATGACTTCCCATTTGCTTCCTTATTTACATATTTTGGACCAGTAAAGATAAAAAAAATCAAATAAAATAAAAAACGTACTACACCTCCAACCTAAATGAATAGCCTCAATTGATAACAGGTAATTGAAATAAGTTGGTCCATGTAATTTATTTAAGTAGTTCAAGTTGTAACTTATAAACTTAATAAATTAAGTTGGATTTACTTGATTTATTTACTTTTTTACCAAATTAAGCAATTCATTTAAGTTGGAGCAGCATTTTCTTTTTTAGAGCATACACATTTTTCTGTTGAATTACTGCTTTTATTGTGCACCAGTCCAGACATTCTGTGTATCATTGTTTTGATGAAAAAACTTTACCTATGATATTTAAAGTTTACCATATAAACAACTCTGGTTGTTCATAATTATGGAGGGAAAAGGAGCATGGTTTCTTTTACCAATAGAAAGCATTTGTTTGAATTTAGCCACCAAGAGTGTTTTTTTTTTTTTTTTTATAATATAATTGTTTCTATCTTGTCTTTATCAACTTGGCACACTTGCCTGAAATATTTGCTGATTCTTCATTGCAAAATAACTTGAACTCAGTAAGTGTCTGAACTAAATTAGCTTTAATACTGGACTTTGACTAGGACATCCTAACACATATCCAAGTTTGTTATTAAGTTTTCTTTGAGTTCTAAGTTTCACGTTGATTCATGTTTTTCTTTGTTTTCTAGTTCTATCTGTTTAATTCATATTTTGTTGTTTTCTCTGGATGTATTTGAATTCTTAGGTTTTTCTTTGTTGTCCTCTGTTGCCCTCTTGTGTTGGTCCCCTTTTCCCTAGCTCCTTTCTAGAAGCCTCTGTTCATACCTGCTCCCGATCAGCTCGTTAGTCCTGTCTTTGTTCAGTCTCCCATAAATACTCTCCCTGTGCAGTTCCTCAGTGCTGGTTCTTCATATTTCCCCAGCTCCTCGTGCATGTCTTTCCTGATGTCTCTTTGGTTCTGGTTTGTCTTGCATTTTTAAGTTGGATTTTTGGATTCCTGCCTCTGTTACCTATGAACACTCCATTAATACTACAAGAACTCACCTCTGCCTCCCTGCCTCTGCATTTGGGTCCTCAAAACCTCAACCAAATCCTGTCATCTTTTCTTCAGTTTGCTTATTTTAGACAAAAGAAGCAGATAATAAATATCGTGAAATATCGTTAAGAAATAAAAAGAAAGTCCAGTTGTCTTTTATGTAAGCATATAGGATTGCCTTCTACTTTTCCAAAACTAAGTAGTTTTTGTAATAACAGGATTTGTAAAGCTCATAACTAATAGCTGAAGTGTTGACAGATTTCTGCACCTAAACTGTACATTTCTTTATCTCAGAATTAAATTTTGTTTGAAATGTGACAACATTTGAGAGAAACTGAAAATGACTGGCATAGATTTACAAAGCACGATAAAGGAGACTGAACTCAATAAGGGAAACATGAAAGAATAATAACAAAACTGGTATTTAATTCTTTGGTTTAAAAGAAGGTGAGATACAGGTGTGAAATCTATCCGATCATACATGAGTTTGCAGCATGCGCTATAATGTGTGACTGAATTAAAAAAGGAAACATTTATTGTTTATACTGTAACTTGCTCATATATGTGAAGCCCCCCTTTAACTGCTTTGCTCTGGAGCTGCAGTTGTCTGAGTGGCCATCGTTTCATCTATCCACTGAGTGTAGTGGGAGATGATGGTGTAAACGCCAGGCTTTTTTAGTTGGCCACACTTTTTCCCTCCATTGGAGGTAATACCAACAGCAGTGCCATTAAAAAGCAGAGGACCTCCAGAATCCCCCTAAAAGGAAAAGAACAACAAAAAACAGCAGAACTGTAAGAGCACTTTTACTGGAAATATATTTTATAACATAAGAATATTTATAATTTATGGAAAAAAATAACATAGAGGTCACAACTTACATCGCAGCTGTCTTCCACTCCATGAGAGTGACCACAGCTGTCTCGGCACACTTTATGGGCACATATCATGTTATTGGTAAACTTTCTTCCAAAGTAGTCAGTGCGCCTGCATTTTGCTGGGCTGATCACCTCAATGGACACCTCATTGAGCTTATCTGGCCTTGACCCCAGATTGTCAAGTGAACCCCAACCAGCGGTTTCAACCACTGTGCCCGGGTCGGGGTTTGTTCCTCCTGTTCGCAGGAATTCTACAGCTCTAACAGCGTCAGAGGCAATAAATGGCCGATCCAACTGTAAAATGATCACACAAAATACAAGAAGTAGATATTTATATTAACTAATTAATATATTCAAATCCAACCAATTGATCGATTGAACATTTGAAACTAGCGGCATTCTGAGCAAACCTTCCCTTGCTGATCTTCTGACTTGTTCATAGGTGCATTACAAATTATTATTATTTTAGTTTTCAGGGCAATAACACTTAAGAATATGGCTGCAGGCTATCTAATAGAGCTGTTCCAAATCAAACTAAAATAGTAATATTTAAAAACTTGATAAGCAAAGCAACTCATCTTATTGAACACCTAAAAGTGCATCAAGAGAAATGCTTGCATGCTTCTAAGTTTTAATACTTTTAAGAAATTTCAGTAATTCTCAACTGGTGGATCTCTACTTCAGACAATCCTGACCATAATGTTCCCCTTACCTTGATCAGAGCAATGTCATTATCATAATTGTCTATGCTGAAGTCAGGATGATTGTGCAGCTCCAAAATGTCAAATGTTTGCTTCGTATCTTCAGCTTCACTCAAAGAATGGAGACCCAGCACTACCTTTCTTCCATTTGCTCTGGTGAAAAAGTACAAAAATATTAAAGGAAAAAAAAATCTGATATCATAAAAAGTTCTGCTCTGTAAAAAAAATCACAATGGTTGGGAAGTAAATTCATTTGCAAGTGGAAAACAAAATCCCTCAGGGTGATGTCTCTGGAGGTTAGACGAATGTTCCCTCACCCGTTTGGCATACAGTGGACTGCAGTCATCACCCACTGATCTGCAATTACAAATCCTCCACATTCATGCTTCAGCCTGCCTCCCTCCTGTGGTACCTGAATGGAGGCCATATAGGGTCGAGAGTGTGACACTGCCTCTCTGCCACCGATTATACCCTCACCTGAAGGAATTCACAGCTACATTTTACACCCTTTAAAATGATTCAATGCATGAAATGAATCAAACTCAAATCCTACTATGCTGCAGGAAAAAGCATCTGAAAAGACTCACCATGTGAAATGAGGGCAATAAAAAAAACAGTAGTCCCTAGAAGCATTTGTTTCTCCGACATCATGGTGGTGTTGTAACTAACCCCCGAAACAGAAACGTCTCTTTTAAAGCCTTCCTCCCCAAAGAGAGGGAACATAAATCATGAAGACGTTGTGCAAGAGAGAAGTGGGGGTGCAGAATTCCTTCTTGTCTCTGTTTTCTTGGAACAAAGGCAGGACAACATAAAACACTGAAGAAAAGCCCTGCTTCTTCTCAGCAAGAACACATTGAAGTTTGTGTGTAAGATACAAATGTTGCATAAATCCTGCCAGTGAGACAGAAAAGAGAAACAGAATTATGTTATCTTGAAATTGCATAATGTTTAGATTTGGTCCGCTCTGAAACCGATAAAGCTGAACGATAAATAAAAACAGAATTTTGTTCTGACATCTCCCTAACCCTCCCTAATACAGGAGGAAAAAAAAGCAGGACCAAACTTTTTTTTTTCTGTTTTGCCAATAAATTCTTCTTTGATGTCTTTAAAAATACACCATTGAAGTCAGTAATTAGATCTAAGAGCATTTTCTGTGAAATACTATTTACTCCTGTAATGTTGGCTCTCCTTATTTATTTAAATGTTGCAAATTAGCAAACACATGTTTGAGAAAACAGCAGGTAAGTGTCAGGACTCTAAACGTTGGACCTAGAATTCAGGCAGACAGACTGAAGTTATTATAAAAAGTTTTTATTAATTGCTCTGAGATCTGGATCTCGTAAGCTAGGACTAGTTGACTGGAATCTCTGTAGACATGACAGGTTAGTCAATGGGCGAGAGGCGGGGTACACCCTGGACAGGTCGCCAATCCATCACAGCCCCATAAAGTCTCATGTTATATATGACATCAACATCTTCATGGTCTTATTATCCTGATGATGAACTGTTTATTTAGTTAAGGCATCGAGAATGGATGCATCTAAGGCCCAGTCCAAAAAAAAAAAGTTGCATCTGTACGATCGTACAAAACACCAAAGATGATGCTGTAGTTAACATGCGGCTCCCTTTGGTGGCAGCTTAAACCACAAAACATCTATGTTGTTACACCTACCACCTTTTCTCTGTGTGGACAGGGCCTTAGCAGGGTGGGATCTCACGAGGAAGGGACTTGGAAAACTTTATTTCCACATTGTTTGATAATTTACAACATTTTGATAAAACAAAAAAAGCAAAAATAAAGGAAATCTGTTAGAGGAGAAAAAGCATCTTCATAAACCATAAATGATTTTCTTCTTGCAAGTAGGAATAGCAAACCGATCAGCTTATTGTTAAAGACGTTTTCAGCACAGTGAAATTACCACCATATTACTTATTTCAAAATATTATTCTTCAGCAGTGCAAATGTACATTTAATTCATCAATTGTTATTTTCTTTTAAATCAGAAAA